TTGTGATGCCAGGATGGTCCCCATCCCATTCTGTGGGCTTTCAGACATGCTTTGTGGATGGTGTTGAGTTTCTCATCCATTTTTGAAGAGAAAAGGCTAGTTCCATTGAACAAAATATTTTCCACATGTTGTTTTGTTTCCTGCAGGAGATTACTGGCTCGTAGCCATGCATGCTGTCTGAGATCCACCACATTGACAAGTGCTCTTGAATCACAGTCTACATGATGCTTCGCCATTGCTAATTGTTGTTACAAAAGTTGCATTGGCTCACCAATGAAAATTCTGACCAGTTCTCTGTGTTGGTCAAGGAGGAATGCAGCAAGTGATTCCATCTTCTGCCATAGGAAATATTGGTAATGGACCATAATGGCCTTGTAATTGGAAATTTGGAGTCCAAGTCCCATGGCTGAGTAGATACAGTGAGACATCAAATCAATCTTATGTCCTTCACGATCAGCTGGTGCAGTGTGCTCTGTTTTGCCAGCCTTGTGTAGACTTGATGACAATGGACGCATTTGTCCTCATGATGTCCTTCATCCAGACAGAGTAGGCAGAGTGAATGGCTGTCCGTAGATGGCATTTTTGCCCCACACTGGGTACACCTAAAATCAGAACTCTGTGCCATCGCGGGAGAATAAAAAAGTATAGGAGAAAGAGAAAGATGATAGACAGTTTGGGGTTTTTTAAAAATATTTTGAGGGGGGATATGTGAGGGGGAGGGGTAAGGGAAAATGGGATTAGTGGTGAGGTTTTATAGGGTGGGAGAAGAGAGGATTTAAAGGAAGGTTTTAAAAGTTTAAAAAGTTTTAAGGATTAAGGGTTAAGCAGGCAAATAAGTAGTTTGTGAGAGAAATCGAAAGCAATGAGAGAACCCAAGGTACAGCAAACGGCACTTGAAAGTGGACTGACAATAGTGCAGGGACTCTGCCTATTTATACAAGGGGGTGGGGGAGTGGAGTTCCTGCCAAAAATGTTACTAGCTGAGAGAATCTTCCCAAATGCAGACACTGCACAGGCACAGCAGCCATATGTGTGATGCAGAGACCACGACGAAGAAAGATGACATGGATTCAGCTTCATATGGGTTGAAACAGGGGTCCTCAAACTTTTTCAACAGGGGGCCAGTTGAAAGGAGGGAGCAGCGGGTGCAGGCCAGTGAAGTGGGGGTGCCTGTGGGCGTGGGCCAGCGAGGCAGCGGTGGGTGCGCGCAGCAAGGCAGCGACTTGCTCATTTGGAAATCTCCGAGCGAGTCCAAAACTATCTCTGAGCAAGCAAGCCGCCACCTCACCGTGTGTGCGGTGAGGCAGGCGGCAGCAGCAGCAGATGCGGGGAGTCCAAAACCTCTGCGGCAGGCCAGATAAGTGGGCATGGCAGGCCGGATCCGGCCTGCAGGCTGTAGTTTGAGGACCCATGGGTTGGAATAAACCCTTAGTTTAATTCAACCAAGCCTTCATGCAAACTTGTACAGCTCTCAGGGTTGGACATAATGAAACTGTCCCATCTGAGTGAAGCCATCCTTAGGTATGGTCCTTGCCACACTGCACCCCATAGCTTCCCACAGAAGGGATCTATCCACATCGTGAAAGGGTGAAAGTCTGCCCTGTGTAACTCTGTCCCTCAGCCCACTTATGTAAAGACCTGAGGCAGCTTCAGGGCTCCCTCTGCTGGCCAAGGGCTGGTAGAGCAGCTCTGGTAGTTGCAGGATTCTGTCCTCAGTCCACTGCAGCTGCCAGGACTCTCATGAGTTCCACCTGGGGAGCCCTGGAGAAGAGCTATATAAGAACCAGCTCTTTCCCTCAGAAGTTGTCTTGGTAATTAGGGTTTTCTGATTTTGGTGAAGCCCTTCCTGGTCTGCTAGACTTGGAACTCTGTTCCTGTGTCCTGTCTGAGCTCCTGTTCCTATGGATCCTGCCTGCACCTCTTCTCTCTCTGACTGGTCTGCTTCCCTTGGTTATCTGACCCTTGGCCTGCTCTGGACTACACTACCTGTCTGTACAGACTTGGCTTGTATATTGACTTCTGGCTTGAACTTTGGACTGTGTATTGGACTTGTCAGGCCCTGTCTGTCTGGCTATGTGCATGCTTGGAAAGAAGTAGTGGTGCCAGGCAATGACATCATGAGCTACAACTCATTAGCCACAACTTGTCCAAGCTTTTGCATGGCCAGTCAGTGTGCTGCCAGGGAGGGGGAGGGGGGTAGAGAGATTTGCTTGAACTAAGTTGTTTTTTCTAAATGAAAACCTCAGTATTCAGGTTTTATTACAGTGTTGGCATTTTGCAATTAAAAAGTGGGTTTTGGGTTGCAGTTTGGGCACTTGGTCTCTAAAAGATTCGCCATCACTGGTTTAGGTGCACAGACTCTTGTATTAGGCCCTGAGATTGTGGAACATGAATCTTCTGTACTGTTTATCCTAGCTTGCAGAGAGGAGTGCCTTCTCTCATTGCATATTCACAGACAATACAGCATTTGGTGACAGACTACTGAATCTTCAACTTCAACACTGTTATTTGTTTTTTAATGTTCTTATTGTATTTCATTATATAAATTAACAAAGAAGTACCATCAGTAACAGCAAGCAATAAAATAGATAACCTCTTGATTCCCTTTAGGAATCGCAGGTCTTTTCTAGAAGTACACAGTGGGGACTTCGGGGTCTGTAAGGTCATAAAGACATGTCCTTCCACAGTATTCTATGGGTATTTGATAGAATTCTGCTTTTGTCTTTCTGGTTTCTAATGTTAAAAAGAAGATCATGCTGTTTTTTCTATTTTTGCTAACTGCTCTTAGCTGTTTAATTTCTCTGGGAATACAGTGTTCTGGATTTGGTTGTACTAGTATTCAATTAAGTTCATGCCTATCTCAAAATGACAAGCATAAACATTAACAGTTCTTTAGAGTGGATTTTCATGTGAATCAACAAAAATGGAGAGAAAAGCAATGTTTGAACTATGATGTATAGTATTTTATAACTTCACAGCATGCTTCAAAAAATGGTATGGCCAAGGTTCTCTGTAATTTCCAACTTGTTCCATCCCCTCCAGAATGTGGGTTTTGTCATATTATACATACAACACAATATTTCAGGTGTTACATACCTTGATGTTTTTTAGTATATTCTCTCTGTTTTTTGCCAAAACCAAGCTTGGGGGGGGGGGGCGGTGGTTAGGGTTAGATAGCCTTCCATGGATTTTGGCCACAAGGTCAGCCCTACCACACAGCTGGGTGATCAAGAAATATCAGCTGACCTGCCATTCACATCATACCTCATACATTAAAAAAAAACCAGTGGTGTAATACAAACTCAGATGATTCTGAAGGAGAAATTGTGTTGTATGTCACTTACTGCCAATGAAACCTCCTCTCTGGATAGTTTTATACTATTTTATGCATGCTTCCCCCCCCCACCCCCGATATTCACCTTGAATATATCCTGTTGCTCTTGTCCAAATGGATGAGAAGGGTGATGACCTGATTGCCAATGCAATAATTTAACCCCTTTCCAAATGATTACTGCATCCTACTTAGAAGTTAGTTTATAATATAAAAACTGAGTTATTCCCAACTTTTCCAGTCTATCTTCATCAGATTTATCATTTATTATACAGTAAAACCTTGGATTGTGGGTAACTTGTTATGCCAGTGTTCTGCAAGATGAGCAAACATTTCTAAAAAATTTCTAGCTTGTTAAGCAAGCGATGTCTTGCAATACGAGTAGTATGTGAGCCAATGGTGTGTGTTCTCTGTCTCTCTCTCTCTCTGCAGTCCTACAACTCCCAGCATCCCTCCAGGAAGGGAGGGTATGCTGGGAATTACAGAACTGTTTTTCTATCTAAACATGTGTAGGATTGCACTGGAAGCAGCTTTAAGCTGACAGCATTTCCTTGTTGGTTACCGCAGGGGATATGCTCATTCTGAAGACAAAGGGGTTGTTTTATTAGAGTCTTGGGTTGTTTAGTGCTGTACACTGTCATTGACTAACTTAAATCAGGTTCTACTTAACTGTTCCAATGATTTAATGTATATTTAGTGCTTTGTTGTGCAGATCTGTTTAAAAATCTTGCCAGGTCCTAACTGTGGACTTCAAGGCTTGTGTGGGAGGAGTACATGGTGTGTTGTAGTACAAGGTTAGAATCTTGCATCTACTTTACTTTTCAGTATCCACTCCCCCCCCCACCCCAGGGAGATACTGAAAGGTAAAACAGATGCAAGAGGTTATGGAGGAGATCTTATCTACAGAGGAGACGAAAAAGGTAGAGGAATCCCTCACTTCAAATGAGATTAGGGAGATGTGTAAAATGTGGGAAACAGTACAAAATTTTGTAGAAAAGGACCACCCAAATATGGCTGTAGCAGTGCAAGTGATGAATCTGCTTAATAACAATGCAATGTCACACTTCCGCAAAATCCTCAAAAGGAGCCAAAAGCAAGTGTCATTGGATAGATTCCTTGTTAAAGCTGCACAAAAAGAAAAAGATTCCATTGAGCCAATAGATAGCAGTGTTAGTGATACTAAAAGTTGTCCTACACAATAACCCTCCTCTCTCTTGCCTCCCTCACACAGCCACAAAGATTTTCAAAGATAAGTGCAGATTAATTTTATTTTTCTTTTATTTTGTATTTTCTTATTTTGTATTATAGTACAGTATTGTAATCATTTTTATATAAGTATTTTTGGATTGTGGAACAAATCATCTGAGTTTCCATTATTTCTTATGAGGAAATTTGCTTTGATATACAAGTGCTTTGGATTACAAGCATGTTTCCAGAATGAATTATGCTCGCAAACCAAGGTTTTACTGTATATCAAAAGGCTGCATCTTTCAAAATCCAATGGTGTGTTTTATGAAAAAATAAACTCAGATGCTTAAGTTTAGGCTGCAGCTCTATACCTACTTACCTGATTGAGTCTGAGTAAGGTCAGTGTGACTTATTTCTGAGTAGACATGCACAGGGGCCACCATTACAACTTTGAATGATATCAGATGGTGTCATAACTTACCTTAAATATCTGCTGAGCTCCTTCTTCCATCCGAGGCCAGACTTGATACCTAAATCTCCAGAGGGTATGGAACTTGAGAATGGCATTCAACCTTTGCACTGCCTCAGGATGATGAAATTCAGACATCAGCATATCTGATACAGCTTCTGGCACTTTCACAGCACACAGGAGGAACATGGCAGCTGCAGAAAGTAAACTTTCTTTGTCTGTTTTGCATTTCACAACTGGGAAGCATCATTTTTTGAAAGTTTAAACACTGTGCTGGATGATGTTTGGTGGAAAAAAGCCTTGCATTTGTCCCGTGAATAGCGGGTATGGAAACTGATATTTTATAAGCATATGTGGTAACAAACGGCCAGCACTTGTGGGCTGCCCCATTTGTTATGGATTTCCACTGTAAAAAGCAGGACATGAGGAGCACAGAAACCACAGGGAGTCAAAAGCAGGGGCAATGTATGCATAGATAGGACTCACAGAATGCTGGGAATCCTTGTCCCAGCCGAAACATTTCAAGGTCCAAAACTGGGTGAGACAATTGTAATACTCTTTATCAATTTGGGGCACATGTCGCACACTGGAGTACACCACTGGGTTGTGACCCTCTTACCTGCTGCACCAGCCATGTGCTCATCCATACTGAGCAGTAACTCCCAGGCAGCAGGCTGGATGTCCCCGTACATCTCTTCCGTGAGGACAGGCGCTGCCTTGATTAACAGTGATAGAGGTGCTGGTGACAAACTCATCACCTGCAGAAAATGGAATCATTCTAAACAGTAGGGCCAGTAAGTAATTAAAAATACTCTGGCAGCCCAGAAATTAACATGTTTACTCAGAAGTGCTACATACGAGTATTTTCAATCAAGACTGCAGTCTCACTTCCTCAGCCCTGTTTTTACATCATCAAAATGATTACCACAAGAAGCCAATACAAGTCACAGCTCAAGGTTATTCAATGAAAACATATTTGCATATATTAGATAGCATAAACACACTGCATACATTTCAGCATCTTGCACTAAAATGGTTTCCTAAACTCTGAGTTCATTGGGACATCCAAAGAGTTTCAATGCCAAAGAAAATGGGACCTTAGACAGAATTCCACATATGCAATCAGAACTACTGGATCACAGTCAACAAGTTTGTTTGGATGGCTGATCACCCCAAATCTGGCATATTGAACCAAGAAATATACATGTCATTTGCAACCCTGCCATTAACACAGAAAGCCCTTTCATATCTGATTAAAGATCCATATTTTTGTTACAGTATTATGATCAATCTTAATGACTGTACTTATTAGATTTATGGTTTCATCCTTGACATCAGTCACAATCTAACAAATTGAACACAAATTATTGGCAGGTAGCTTTCCATGAATGAAACATTAGTGACAGTTCTGATTTATCTGCCAAAAGAAATACTAACACATCATGAACATTATGTGAACACTTTTTACTTTTACTTGTCCTTGAGGATGTTTGCAAAATCTGGGCATTACTTCTGGAATACATAAAATACTAAAGACTATAAATGAAGATGTGCCACTATTGCAGCCTTTCTAACCTGATGCTCTCCGGATGTGCTGCACTATGTCTTCCTAATTCTGGGCATTGCAGTGCAACATATCTGGTGAGCATCAGGTTGGGAAAGCTGCTCTAATGCATTATTTTACTGTAGGTAAATGGCACACTCATTACCTGCTGCCTTATGTACTTCAACATCCCAGAGTCCTTCTTTCCGTCAAGGTTGGAATCCAACACTCTTTTTTTCAGGGATGGGGTTCTCAGGCAGGACTTGTCTGAACACTGGAAGAGAATCAGATTCGAAAAAAAGTTTTTTCAGGGGCCATCGTGCTAGTGAAATCCTGCTATGTGTCTAGTATTCAAAAGCAATAATAATACCTCCATGGATAGGACACCCCGCCACTTTTCTTACCAATCTCTGAGTGAGCAAGCTGCTGCTGCGCACACGCCACCCCATCACCTCCCCGCACGTGCGCGCCTATGCCAATCTCCCCTCCCTGAGTGCGCCAGAAATTGTGCCAGTCTCCCCCACCCCCAAGCGTGCCCGCGTTCTCCTCTCAACACCCCATGTATAAGACACCCCTCCATTTTTAGGTAAATATTTTAAAGAAAAGGTATCGTCTTATACACAGAAAAATATGGTAAATTATGAGTGTTTTTCCTATGCCTGTTTAGACAGGAAAAAGTTCTACAACTTCCAACATTTCTCAGTCAGCTGAAGAGCTTTCCCTTGCACACTCAGAATGTGATCAGGAACCACTGAGAATGAAGTAAGCCCACACATCCTCCTTTTACCAATCCCCGATTTCATTTCCAAATGCCATAGTGAAACAGTTTTGCCTGGTGAGCATGTAATGCCAGAAAAGGGCTGTTAGAGATAGTTACCCTACACAAGGGCTAAATGCATAACAGGAGCTGAATTAACAAATCCTGTTGAAATGACCTGACATAAATCTCTGTAGACAATAAATTCGTATTTTATTAGCTTACTTACCTCTTTCTGCTTTTTGCCCCGAACAACGTTGTTTAGTATGTTATTTTCCCTAAGCGAATCCACAGTATCTCCATATAGGAGTTTGATGGCCCGGACAAGGCGGGCACAAGAACGGCTATGATGCAGGTAACAATGAGGGTGGCAGTAATCAATGTGAGTACAAATGAAACTCTGCTGGTTGCACAGCAGGATCATCACCTGGGAATATAAAATATGCCCAGAATTTTTAGTAGAATCATGTGCCAAGAAAAGTCCACAAAGAAAACATTCTCCAACATCTCTATCCAAAAACTGATTCATTTGTGAAAAGAAAAATAAATTAGCCTAGCTTACCACACAGAGGGTGAGAAGAAAAAAGATACTACTTCACAACAGAGCATTCAAAATCAACCCATTGTATAGCAAAAGCGGTGGATGGCATAAACTTAGGCATACACTATGGTGAAATCCTATCCAACCCATTTTTCATCTTCATTTCAGGTTATCTCCACAATAGATGGGCCAAGTACTTCCCCTATCCATTTTAACTATATTGACATCTTGCATCCAGCAAAATGAACACAGAGCTACACTTATGAGTACAAGACAAACCTTCACAATGGTTCCAGGATTGACGGGGAAATTAGGCTTCGGGGACCCTCCCTTTAGTTTGCAAAACCACTGTAGAAGCTGAAAAGCCAGCACTGCAGCTGCTCTGCTCAATCTGGGAGGTACCTGACTGAAGTACAATGGCTACTGTGGGCCTTTGCAGACTGGATTACAAAACACCAGCTCTGAGGGCAGCCACTATTTGAGCAGCCTCTCTGCTTGAGAGCCAAGCCAGGCATTTTCTGGCTACAGGATAAGGGTGGCTTGGGTGGTCATCTTTTGTGTGGTTTCTGTTAAGCCCGGCCTTGAGAGCTGTGCAGCAAGACCTCTGCCTGTGCTTGCCATCTCCCACTTCAAACAGGTTCTGCTGTGGCTGCTCCTTGTGCCGGCTCATTGGAGTCAGGAAGGCCAGGTATAACTATACTTGAGATGGAGGGTAAAAGGAGGAGTGAGTCTCATCCACCCTACCCTGCCCCTCTTCAATTTTCTTTCTGTTATGGGCAGGTCTCCAATAATTGTGGCCCTCAAAATGAAGCTCCCATCATCCTCACCTTCAGCTAATCTGACTAGTACAGATGGGAGTTGTACGCCAGAACAAGTTCCTCACCCTGATCTAGATCACACTACTGAATAATGAAAAGGTAATAGCAGGAAAACTTTCATGAACATTTATTCACCATTCACTGCATGCCATGAAAAGTTATTATGAGTGTTCATTTCTGTCATAAAGCAAAAGCACTATAGTATCCAGCACTACAATCATAAGTGGGCCTAAGTGTGTTAGATACTACCTTGTAGAGACAAACAGCCTGCAGACCATGTAATGACAACAAAAGAAGAGCAGCAACTTAACACCTTTCTGCTGTTCATTTTCTGATAAGTTTCCATGGATCTTGACATTTGTGCAAATGAGAAGGGATGCTCATGTTCACAGATATTACTACAGATAAGTTCTCAATATATTTAATAAACATAAATTTCTGCACCTTTAATTTAATGCAGCAGAGGTTTAAATCTAATTACTGGGAAACAGTTTAACTTTGACTTATTCTATTTTGTGGTTTTAAATTTTCCTAAGCATATGCCTTAACCTGCCTTACTGGAAGTTCTGATGGCCGGGAGACACTGAATTCTTGAGTAGTGGAAGCTTCACCATTCTGTCAGAAATCCTGGATTTGCTGTACGTGGATGAGTAGATGGGCCCTCTGTGTATAAGAAGTGGGAATTCTATGATGTCATTAATGATCTCTACTTACATGCAGCCAAGACATATTGCGATGATAGTTCTCTTCTGTGCCAGTGCTGCTCAGCACTTCAGGTTCTATACTGGGCTCACTCGTGCTCCAAGGGCTCCCTTCTTCAAAAGAAAAAGATACACCCAAAAGTAATTATCTTCTGATGTTTTCTCCATATTTTTAAGCTAAGGTTTATGCTTGTAAACCAGACCAGTTTGCTGAAATAGGTGAATGCTAATCCCTTGTATCCTATAGGATATATAAAACAGTATGCCAACCCAGCACACCAACCCAATATCTAAACTACTCAGGAAGGAACGGTAACTTTACTAAAGAAATGTCAAATTGTTCCATTCACTCCCAACCTAACCTATACTTCTTCCATGCCTTTGATGATCAGCTGGACTGGTAATTACAAGCATAATTTATAACCACCATTAAAAGGACAACTTATCAGGGGTAAACACTGTTCCCTTTTCTGGAAGAGGGGAGGGTAAGTAAATGGAAGGAAAACTGTTGCATCATCAGAATGCCAGAAATTGTTGGTTTCAGTGATCTGCATTGACTGGGCTCTGTGGTCCAAAAAAGGGGAAAAAAGTATAGTCCTCCAGTGGCAGCAACTTTGCTACACCTACTGCTGCTACAAACAGGCTATAACTCTGCTAAGTCCAATAAGAAGACTGCAAAATGCCCGGCGATAAAAGGGGAGGGGGGAAATCCTTAAAAAAAAACCCTAGAAAACAAAGTCAAGGGAAGGCCTTTCTCTGACCCCACAGTTTCCTGCATGCATTTATTGTTGATGGGCCTTCAAACTTGACAGACCTTTAGCACAAAATTTGCCTACTGGAGATGATAACATTGAGGATGCAATCTTATAGTCACTTACCTGGGAGTAAGCCCCACTGAACTCAGTGTGACTTTCTTCTGAGTAGACATGTACAGGATTGCAATAACAGACTATTATGAGAGGTGTTGTTGATTTTCAGTTAGTTTTTCCCCACCCCTTTCTATTAAGCAAGCATGTGCCTAGCTAAACTCAAATTTCTGCACAGAAGAACAAGAGCATGGGCAATGCCACTGAGACCACAAGAGTGAAAAAGGTTCAGGTTTAGGATTTATCTGGTTCTACATTTTTTGTAAAAAAAAATAAATTATGGGATCTAACAGTATGGAGATTCACAAGCACGCATATATTTATCTCTCATACAAAACAAAATATATATGTATTGTATATATACCTATATGCACAATACATAATATTAATATGAGATATGTGTGCGTGTATAGGTGTGTATATACACACACACCCCAAAGTTACATAATATGTGATAGTTTTATATATACCTTCCTAACCATGACATGCATTTGGTTGACTGTATGGAAAATGCCTGTATACTAAGTCCATGCACCTAATATGTAGATTTTTAAAGCTTAGTATCCCTTGAATGGAACAGATCTGACTATTTAATATAACAACAGCAGATTCAAACTGCTTGTCCTTGCTAGATATGAAATCATGCCAAAAGCTTTGGCTGCTTATTTCTGACTAGGCAGCTAGAGGTATGCCTACCCTGCCAGCCCTCTTCCACCTTTCCTAGCTCTGCTTGAGTAGCTTCCAGGCTCAAGCGGCTGCCTCCTCATCCCGCTCCCTTTTTAGCCCAGCTCATCTATGTTACCTATGTCAGTGACAGTGTCCCTGCTGTGGGACAGCTGCAGCTCCTCATTCTCAGACTCTGAGTCCTGACGGGATAACTTGGTGCTCTTTAGGCTGCCGGCCCGGCGAATGCTGGACAGGGAACCCCCTTTCTTCACCCGGAAACTGCGGGTTCCTTTAATCTGGAGCAAGCGGGAGCCTCCTATCCTGATCTTCCTGCTGGGAACTGTATTAAAAGAATAAAAGAGGACTTTTCCCCCCTTAATTTCCCCATTTAAAATATTATACTTATGTATATTATATATAAATATATATATGATATAGCTATATCCCTAGCCCCCCAAACACCCCAATCCTGTATTGCAATGCCTTTCCTTTTCTCAAGAAGAATGGCGAGAGGCTCCATCCAAAGCCAACGCCACTGCAGCTCTCTTAATCATCCAGTAAGGGATTTTCTTAGAGAAGGTTATGACATGTTTCTTTATCTTTTATTCAGACTATTGTTACCCTCAATTCAGACAATTCAGAAACTCCATGGCTAAACAAGGAAAGCTACAATGTGTGCAAAACACATTGCCCAGGATTCCTTCAGGAGTACTCTGAGAAAAGTAGGATTGTTCACTTTCTGTGTTTGCCAGGAACGGTTTTGCCACTGAATCTATACCACCTGCTGCTTACCAATGACTGGGGTGCAAGTTATAGGCAAAGCTTCAGGGTTGAATCTCTCCTCATGCTAGCCCAAGGTACTTAATTCTTGTTGTGAAATCACAGTGTTCAATCATGCGGCATGCATAACTGTTAGTAGGCACCGCACTTGCTTAAGCTGGGCACCTACTTTGTTTATCCAGTTTGAATATTTACCTTTGCATAAATTGTCACCTTTGTCCATTAAAATTTCACCATAATTCTACAGAGAAAGTAACAATATGTGACCCCATTCTTTCAGACAGTTACAACTTTCAGGCATTAAATACATGTGTGGAAGCTGGGGGTTGTAGCATTTTTAAGGAGCAGAATAATATGGAATGGTTTGAAGCGCCAGTCACTGGCATGTTTCCATTCAGCTCTGAAGCACTACATGGCATTATGCAAGTCCAAATGTTGCAACACTAAGTTGGAAATCTGCGTTACTGCAATGTGGATAAATAGTCATGTTCACTTTTAGCAGTGAGTAGAAAAAATGCAGTGGTGAGAAAAGGTAACTCTGTTTAGAAAGATTTGGGCTTAAAAAGAGCTTTGAGAAGATCCTTCTGATTTCTAAAGATTTGCACTCATGGGATGCACAATTCATAATTAAACTTTTAGCATAATTTGCCTTAATTATGATTTGCATTTAATTGGGTTTGCAGAGGAACATTGCTGAGTGGGCTTGGAAATGAGTATTTCCTAAAAAGCTGCCCGAAGGGTATCCATGTCAATCTGTTGCAACAAGAAAAGTGAAGAAGCTTGTGTGGGGCCTTAAAGGCTACCAAATTCACTGGAGAATAAGCTTTGGTGGACTTGCACCCCCTTCCATCAGATGCAACAATTATTGCCACAGGATAATTTCTTGATCCATTGGACACAGAAGGTTCCAGTCCATATAAGCTTCCGTTATGATGAATCTGGTAGTCTTTAAATGCTACAAGACAAAACTCTTTCTGGGTTTTATAAAATGAATTGAAGGTAAAAATGCCTACAGGGTGCTGGATGCACCCTGTAAAGATCTCCTGTAATGAAAAAGGATTTCTAGAGCACTGTAACAACAACAACTGCTACTACAACAAGAAACATAGAAACAACAACTTTAAGACTGCAATTTTTCACATGCAAATAGAAATGTATCTCAATGAACTGATAAAGCATATAGCCCAATCTTGGTATGTTGACCTGTAGGTAGCTTGTTCAAACTGCTTTACAATTTGTATTTTATTCATTGTAATAACTATCTGACATATGGCATTAATATGCCTATTTATTCTGGGAAAATGAGACTTAAGAGGATGACTAAAGCAATAACATCCACTTACTGAATGGACTTGTCTGCAATATTCACAACTATCTATCTTCTTCCAAATAATAATGGGCATTACAGTTTGAGAAGGGTGCTCAGTATTCTCCACTGTAAATTCTAGTCCCCTTCTGAGTTTCCTTTCCCTGAGAAGAGGAAATGACTGTCAAGTGGGATTTGAACTCCAGTATCTATCAAAATCTTACTACAGTCAACCATACTAGTGGTCACAAAGCTCACAAAATGCAAGCAGTATATTTTTGAGGCCGCTAGTCTCTTGAGTTATTTATGTTAACTTTGGTCCTATCTTTTCGTGATCTTGAGGCCACTAGTCTCTTGAGTTATTTATGTTAACTTTGGTCCTATCTTTTCGTGATCGTATAATCATAGGTTTTGCATAGTTTTAAACAGACACCTGGGTTGCTCATTTAATAAGAAATAATTATCAAGCAAGTATAGAAAACATGTGAATGGAATAAAAAAGTAAATAGTTTTCAAGGTGATTTGTAGTCTAGGTGAGAAAATCAAATTACAGTTTTTAGCTGAGGTATAACAGGACATACCTTTGCCAATATCTCAACCGTTACTGCTATATTCTCCTGTCCCAACTTTGTAGAGCACAGAATATTTCATTTTAAAATGTTTCATCTGTTCATCACATTGCATTTCAAAGTGTCCCAAAGCAACTTATTAACCAGCTAACATCTACAAACTAGCCTTGTATAAAGAAATTCCTTGCACCTTCATCTAACATAAAATTAACTTCTGAGAAAGGGGCTGCATTTAAACACTTGCTTAGCAACTTGTTAATGCTGGTGTTATTGGGATTGTAATTTCATTGCATTGTAATGCCTTTTTAATGTGGCTTTTATTGAGCCAGCCTGTTTTATTGTATGTACTTGTTTTCATTCTAAGTGTTGTTATTTGCATTTTTCTATTGCACACCTTCTTGGGTATCTTTAGCAGAATAGCAGTTGATAAAAAGTTGTTGCTGTTTTTATTCTCTAACTGTTGTGTTTTTATCATATTTAATGTGTTTTGTTGTTTTAGGGTACAATGCCATGACTGCTAGGCACTGTCTAGACAGCCACAGGAGACTTTGGAATCCCAGCTCTGACCTTAGCAACATGCTCTGAGGTCAGAGCTGGGCTCAGAAGTCAAATACTCTCTGTTCTTGCAGACAGTGGAGAATGAAAAGTGCTGGTTGTGATTTGGAGACTGGAAGAGTCATCCTGGAGGTGGTGTTTTGCAAGTATTCCAAAGGGAGGGGAGGAGACAGACTCCATCAGCACATACAGGATCCTGGAAATCTCCCCTTTTTTCTGCCCTCCACATGATGCCTGTAATCCTTCAAGTTTAGAAAATTACAGGCATCTGAATTAGTCTGTGTTGCCCATTTATTTTAAATTGCTCTTACAAGGCACCCTGAGGGTCATTTTTTGGCAGAAAGGCAGGTTATAAACTGCCTTTAATAAATAAGGGCAATAAATCCTCACTGATAACTGGATCATTTCAAATAAATTATTTTAAAAAACAGAAACATATAATCTCAAAATGATGGGAAAGTTAAATTATAGAAAACTACCTAGATTTACCTGCAAAATAATATACATAAATGAATTGTAGGATCTTTGAGCAAGCTGGAATGCTTTAGTGATTGGCCATTATAGAAAATTCAAGAAACATTAGTAATGGGTGAGCTTCCCTGGTTTATATCAACTTGGCTTTGTTTTGCTAAAAACAACAAAGTAGCTCAGTTTATTTACTAGTGATACAGTAATTAATTTTTGACATTATATGCAGGCGAGAGTGTTATAATGCAGTGAAAAAGAATTGTAAAGCAGTCTGAATACCTTTTTTAAGACAGAAAGGCAGTTTCACAATGTTCTTATAAATGAAACTAATATAATATACTAGAGGTCCTAGATTCCAGCACAGGTATTTCTAGCAAACAGAGAAACACAACAAATCTGTGAAAAGCTTCTGTTAGATTCCTCAGAGAACTACTAAAAGTTCTGACACCATACAAGTTAGTTATACACACAAAACATTTTACTGTATCCCTAAAAATGGGTGTACCATGTGAGATACATTTGAATTAAATGCTTCGCCAGAAGATGATTATTTTTCCTTTGAATCTGGCAGTACAACACTTAAGTGTCTGACAGCCAATTCACACTCAACATTTTTGTTGAGACACTTTGAGGCACTTATGAGAATAACTGATATGGAGAAGAAAACACCCAAATGGCTTCCTGATGGATTGTTCAGAGTCTATTGGAGAGCTAGTCTGGATACTACTCATTCACAGAAGACACCTTCAAGGGCAAGCAAACATTGAAAGGACCTATAAGAATAATTCCAGCTCTGTAAACTAATATAAAAGCACAGACACCATATTAGTGCAACATCCTAATGTAAAGCTAAGAAAATTAACGATGTCTTTGAAGAAATTGGCATTATACAGGCTTCAGAGATCCTTTAATAGATGCAAAAATGTATACCCAGAAGCACCAAGAGTTCTTTTTCTTGCTTTAATTGGGGATCTCTAACCATGAAAGGATATCATCAGTATCTATTAAAATGGAACACAAAGATAAAACATACAGTATGCAGTTCTTCACAGAGACTGGAATGCAATTCCTTATGTTATGCAACATACTTGTAATCAATGTAAAAATGAACATAGTGACTTGCAACAGAAAACATTAAAGGGGAGACAAATTCATAGTTCACTGAAATAGAAGAGGACTATGTTGTCAGTTTCAATAAGCTATTCAAACAAACCTCCTTTAGGTCTGGTTCAGAGGCAATGAAACCAAAGACGTATTCTTATGGAGATGGCTGTATGGAAGCAGTAAGCACAGACAACATGAAAACTACACTGAAGGGTTGAATATGAATAGAGTGTGAGTTGCCATTCAACCATGGTTTGTTGCTGAGATAGGGATTACAGTGTTGTCTGAATCCAGCCATAGTGTAATATGATAGGCACGAATCCTAGTATGATAGGAACAAACAACCAATGAAGGTAACCTATGACTTGTTGTTAGGTTGTGAACTATGGTTGTTTGTGTTTAATGAATCTTGATTTATTAGAACTGCTAGATTTAGACAATATGATAACCCATGTTTCAACAACAACCCAAATTCAACCCATACTCAACCATTCAGTATGCATTAGCCTTCTGTATGCAGCCAGATTCTCAGGCACTGTTTGTCATGCACTGTTTCTTCAAGTTCAGAAGGCTAAAAAACATGGAAAGTGGCACCTTGCCAGCATGGTAGTACCATATCAAATGTCACACTTCCATCTGTGACTCTTCATTCCCTCACATTCAACACAGAGAGATTAAGGGATAAAACAGATGTTACTTTAAATCTGTCTTTAGTGGCCACATCTTTTTTATTATTTTACTCCAAAGTAGGTATAGGAGGCCTAATCCAGATCAGGACCCGAGTATGTGAGGTAGGAGAGAGTTTCTGAGATCTGGACAGGTTCCTTTATGCCTACCCTAGAGTAAAAAGAGAAATAATACATAGCTGCTAGGCACAGCTTTGGTTTTTTTTTCCCAATATTTTAATTTACTAACGATCTTAGGCCTTTATTCAGACATCCTTTTATATAAATGTGCTGAGCACAATGATGCTATTCTTAACACATTCATATGAAACTAGTGAATCAAGAACTCCACATCATCCTTGCACAGCCAATACTACCATTAGGCAGAGTGTGGTGGAATCCCCTAGCAGCAGGATTTCATTGTTAAAAGAGGGCAGAAAATTATTGATTATTTACTCCATTATTATTGAATCATTACAGCCAAAAATGCAGAGGGGTGCTTTTGGGATTTTTTTATCATATGCCCAAATAACCTGACAGGCTCTGAGTATTACACACCTCAACTTAGGTGGATTTGCTGCTCTGCTTCAGGCAGCAAAGTGTCTTGGGCCAGCCCTTTAGCCTTGCAAGAAATCCAAAGAGGTTCAATAAACCTCCTGGTTCTGCAATCTCAGATAGGGAACAAAACAGAGGTTTATCTTGCCCTCTATGGACCACCACATGTAGATTGTGGACTATCTGGATTCATGAATTGCAAGTTGTGAAGGCATTTGCTGATGATGTAGATTTAGGTTTGAGCAATATGTTCCTAGGATCTCCTAATGAGTGTGCCCAGACATTACGAGGGTGCCCAGACTCCTAATGATCCTAGGATATATCTTGAAAAATATATGGGAGGGAAAGAGCAAGATAACAAAGATGGTGTTCAAGCAAATTCTAGATTACTGTTGTTAGTGCCAACAAGTTGCCTCCAACTTATGGCAATCCTATGAATGAAGCCCTCCAGAATGTTCTACCCATGTCAGCCCTGCTCAGCTCCTGCAAACTCAAGGCTGTTGCTTCTTTTATGGATTCTATATAGATTCTAGATAAAACAAGTGATTTTCCAAGTAGCAGCAGGGACTCAGAGAATCAGAAAATTAAGCTGTCTATGTGTTTCCCTAGATCAATTTGCAGTTCATTTATGTTATTATAAACTAAAATCTACTATTCATTTGAAATAACTATTACATAATTGCTATGAAAAATTACAGGAAGAAAACAGGAAATTTGTCAAAATTGTATGCTATTTCTCATATTTTGGTCTATTGTTTACTATCCAGAAAAGTAAATTTTAAGTAAGTATTGTCTCTGTTTTGTATTGCAACACTTGAACTGTAGGTCTGAATGAGAATTTTGGTGGTGGTGGTTCTTTTCTGCATGAGATGGCATTATAATGATAAACAGACCATGGCCTTTAGCAACCACAGTGACTTATGCCTTGACACCACACATCATAATATTGCATTAGCCATTGAGAGCCACATAGCAGACATGGTTTAAGCATGTGGTAGCATTTTTTTTCAAAGTCTCAGGAAGCAGATTAATACACTCAGTTAAGTGTCATAGAGCTTTAGTTCCTGATCTATAAAAGTATAAAGGAACCCCACATTTCTCTTCCTCATGTGGCATTACGCCACATTAAAATATTAATATGATGCATATTTACTAAATTAGGCTGTAATGCAGAGCACACAGAGGTAATCATAAGTGCTACTAAACCAGTAGTTGGAAGTAAGCACACCAACAAAATGTATGTAAGCTGACTGATTCTTTTTTAATGTCCTATATTACCTTCTGGTTTTGGAAATAGACAAAATGTTTTAATTTGGAAGAATAATCCTAGGCACAATTCTTTGGAATAAATTTCTCTAAAATGAAGTGGACTTACTTCCATTAGACTGAGGTGCAAAAAAAAAAAAAATGTTCTGAATTTAACGCATCCAACCACTACAAATGGGTCAGCCGTGTGGCTCCATAGCTAACAGCTTCTTTACATCATTTTTGAAAGTTAGGACACTAAGTCCAGCATCAAATAATAGATCTAGGAAAAGCTGAAAGCTTTAGTAGGCAACAAACCTTTCTTCTCTTCACAACCTGTGTCAGATTTCAGGGTATGGCTGCTGCTGTGCAAAGAATCTTTTGCATCTTCATTTTCATCCAGGACCCCAGCAAAGCTGATCTTCCTCTCATACCTGTGTCGGTCCATCTCAGGATCCAAACGCAATCTGCAGCTCTCCAGGTCCTATAACATCATCACATGAACCACCAAAATGGGTGAAAAGCATAGGTACAAGGAAGAGATTATCATTCAGAGAAAAATTTAACCCAGCTAAAAATTTTATTATTTACAGCTTACACTGAGTGATAATTAATTTTCTTGCTGGTCTCCTGTGAATAATTTGGACTGGTGCTGTTTTTTTATCTTGTGTCATTTATTTGGCTGTTGATCTGCATTTAATATTTTATTGTAAGGTGTTTGTGAAGGCTTGCTCTAAAAGTCAGAGTGAAAACAAACACATATATATACTGGCTGTAATCCAGTGATTGCCAGTCAGTTTCATAACTGAGCAGAATACTAATCCAGATTTCTACATTTGAAGCCTAATTCAGACAGCATTATAACCTACATAAGTAAATCTAGTGTGGGTTGTTGCTGAATTGAGAGTTGTTGAAATATGGGTTTCCATATTGTCTAAACACCATTTTTTAACCATGAACAATCCATCATTCACAACCCAACAAAACCAACTATGGGTTCTCTTCATGGCCTGTTTGTGGTTAACAAACCATGTTTTGTCAATGCATCAGGGTTCAATCCACAGGATAACCCATGTTTCTACAATAATACACTTTTCAACAAAAACCAACACTGAACTCATACTTAACCTTTATATTTGTGTCCCTCATTATTCAACCTTTTTCTAAGTTACAAAGTCCCAAATGTTTTGAAATAATTTTATACTGTATCATGTGCTCTATTGTTGTTAGTAACTTCAAAGCACTACTTGCAGTGGAAAGGCAGGTTGTTTACCTGTAACTGTCGTTCTTTCAGTGGTCATCTGTGCATTCACACATATATGGGTGCTGTGCCTGCGCAGTGCTTGTTGCTGGAAAGATTTAAGAGCTTTAACGGTTTTGGCAGGAACTCCATGCCCTCCTCCCCATAGTATAAATGGACAGAGTGCCCGCCCCTTCACTAGCAGCTGAAGACCGCCTATTTGCCCCCCAGCTGGAGCTGGCAGGTATAAAACCCAGCTCCATAAGGAAGTATAGAAATATACTGTATACCCATTAACTGACACCGAAGTGGGGCTGGTGGGTGGATTGTGTGAATGCATGGATGACCACTTGAAGAACGACAGTTACAGGTAAGCAACCTGCCTTTCTTCATTGTGGTCTCCATGCATCACACATTTATGGGTGACTAACAAGCTTACCACACCTGGAGGCAGGACGGTGTTGTCACTGGAGAACTCTGGACAAGCTGGCGTGGCCAAAGAAGCAGTCCTGCCAGGCCTTGACATCTAAACAATAGTACTTCATGAATGTGCACGGGGTGGATCACATGGCCACTTTGCAGATATCATGTAGAGGAATGCCCGCATGGAGGGCAGAAGAAGCAGCGACAGCTCTTGTGGAATGTCCTTTTGGAGTAACAGGTAAGTCCAATTTGGAGAGGTGGTGAGTGAGTTCAATCGTTTCAATGATCCATTTCGAGAGTCTTTGAGTGCCAATGGCCACTCCCTTGTCATGTTCCGAGTATTTGACAAAAAACCATTTGGTTTTCCTGAATGACTCAGTTTGGAATCCACAGAAGGCCAAACATCTGCGGACGTCTAGGCTGTGTAGAGAGCACTCAATCCATGTCAATGGAGCAGGGAAGTAAGCTGGTAGAAGTAAGTCTTGATTAAGGTGGAAAGGCATCACAATCTTTGGCAGAAAGGTTGGGTTGGTACGGAGACCTACTTTCTCCTTGTGGAAATGGAGATATGGAGGGTCAACACAAAGAGCACACAGTTTGCTAGCTCTTCTGGCCAATGTGATGGCAACTAGAAAAGTCATTTTCCATAAGAGAAGGCAGAGATCAGTAGTAGCCATAGGTTCAAATGGAGGTTTAGTGAGTGCCTGCAAAACAACAGAAAGGCCCCACATTGGGACAACCAATGGGATCGGAGGTTGTAGGTTTTGTAATCCTCGTAGGAATCGACATATGAGTTGGTGAGAGAATATGGATGAACCTTCAATGTATTCTCAATGACGCGAGATGGCTACAATATACACTTTAATGGACGAAGGTTTGAGACCTCCACGGTATAACAAGAGTAGGAATTGTAAGATGTTCTCAGTGGTGGCAGATTGAGGTAGAAATTGGTTAGCAGCAGCAAAGGAAGTGAAGCACTTCCATTTAGCATTATAGGAACGCTGTGTGTTCAGTCGTAGTGCAGATTGGAGAATGAACTGAATGTCTGGATGAAGATCTGTCGGATTCGTAGATGTCAGTATCAGGGTCAGTACCGAGTGTAAAGGTGGTATAGAAAGAGTCTCTGATCTCATGAAAGCAAGTGTAGACAAAGCAAGTGTTGGTCCCGAAGAAGCGCTTTTGTCAGATCCAAAGTTGCTGTTGGTACAGGATGAGTGAAGGCAACAGTTGGTACCACAGTTGTAGTCAGTTTCAAGGACAAAGTCTGAGGAACAGCTAGCAAATGAGCCCAGCGGTGAGGTTCAAGGACCACAGATCTGGATGCTATATAGCACCTTTTTCCTGAGTGAAATGTGAGGTAGATGTAAGAAATTGTTGTTGGATAGCTGGAGGAGAGTTGTGGCCATCAGGGAGTGATAAGGATGCTGCAAGCATTGTTGTGACGGAACTTTGCTACAGTTCTTGTTATCAGCGGGATATGGGGGTTGGGGGAGACACATAGAAGAACTTGTTCTCCCAGATCATGAGCGTGTCCCTGAATCAGGACCGATGCCTGCTCTGGAACAGTAGTCCTGCAGATGGAGTTGTCCCGTGTAGCAAACAGGTCTATGGTCGCTGTTCCCCATAGTTGGAAGAGATGGTGACAGGTTTGACGATCCAACTCCCACTCATGAGTTGTAGACATGTGCTGCTGAGGGAGTCAGCTTCCTCATTGTTGATGCCGGTCAGATAGACTGCTTGAGGAGTGATTCCGTGGGCAATGCCCCAGTTCCACATGTGAAGGGTGAGGTGCGCTAACGGGATCAATCCCGCTCCACCCTACTTGTTTATGTAGAACACGGTCACCATATTGTTCAATGCAATTTGGACCATGTGACCTTGTTAGGATAACCTAAAAGGCATGTAATGTCTTGAAGACCACCAGCAATTCTAGATAGTTGATATGTCTGATGGTCTCGTGTTTATGCCAGGTGCCTTGGGTCCGAAGAGATACGCAGTGGGCACCCCATCCAGTCAGGGAGGCATTGGTACAGAGCATCACAGTCAGTTCTGGTGCACAGAATGGTACTCCGCAAGAGAGGCTGGCATTAATACTCCACCAGGATAGAGTTTGGAGGACTGCGTGTGGAGGTTGTAATAGTTGGTTCGGTCGATCGCAGTCTGGATGAAAGTTGCAGTTGAACCATAAATACAATGGCTGCATTCACAGTCTCACATTTGTCACCACCAATACCGTGGACGCCGTATGACCAAACACATGTTGAATGGAGTGTGCTGGGACAGTCTGTTGAGTGGTAATCCATCATACAGAAGTTATCAGTCTCTCTTGTCGGTCCAGAGGTAGGAAGGCTTGTGTATGAAGAGAGTCCAGGCATGCTCTGATGTTATTGATGACCTGAGAGGGAACAAGGCATGATTTTTCATTATTAATGCAAAGACCCAACCGGTCAAGCAGAGAACAGGTGGTGGCTATTGAAGTCAGTAGGTCATCTCTGGAGGAGGAGATGATGAGCCAATCATCCAGGTAAGGGTAGATGTGGATACCCCGAAGCCTGAGTTGGGCACAAACCAGAGTGGTAGTGAGCCCAAATGGGAGAACGTTGTACCAGGCTACAGTACCGACAGTGAACCAAAGGAGGAGCCTGTGAGAAGGATGAATGCTGATGTAGAAGTAAGCGTCTTTTAAGTACAGGGATGCGAACCAATCCTCTTTCCTGAGCAATGGAAGTATGTTCTGGAGCATGGTCATTCTGAATTTTTTGGTTTTGATGTATTTATTAACTCCATGTAAATCCAGAATATGGCAGACACCCCTGTCTCTTTTCAATACCATGAAGTACCTGGTATTGAAGAAACCATGCAGTCCTTCAGAGCAATTAAGTTTACGAATCACTCCCTTACGAAGCAGCTCAGTGACTTCTTCCAGGGGGGCTGGAGAGGTTGCTGCATATTGGATTGGACCTGAAGGAGGCACAATTTCAAACTCGATTTTATATCTGTGCTCTGTGATGGAAAGGACCCACCTATCAGATGTGATGGACTCCCAGATGGGGAGTTGACTTTGCAGCTGATCCCCAAAAGGGAGAAGGAAAAGTGGACTGAAGGATTAAGGAGAGGTTCACATGTCCCATCAGTACGGATGCTTTTCAGCATCAGCTCAGCGCCGTGCGGTGTGTTGGATTGTTGGGTCTGAGGCTGTCTTTGCCCAAATTTCTGGCAGCCAGAGGGGTATCCCTAGTGGTAGGGCTGGAAGGGCCAGTACCATGGAGGTCTGTTCCATGACCACTTACATCTAGGCTGAGTGGAGTACTCCATCCAACGTGCAGCGAGGCAAGCCTTGCGTATGTGTTCCAGATTCTCATCAGTCTTTGAGTGGAAAAGACCAGCACCATCAAAAGGCATTTTCTTCAATCTTTGTTTTGTTTCTTGGGGCAGGTTCCCCGCTCTGAGCCAGGCATGGCATCAGAGGGCTACAGCACCAACAAGTGCCCTCAAGTCGCAATCAACATGATGTCTCACTGTGGTGAGCTGTTGTTTTGAGAGCTGCCTCCCTGATGAAGATGCAGGCCAGTTCCCTTTGCTGGTCCAGGAGGAATGCAGTGAGAGACTCAATCTTTTGCCAAAGGAAATATTGGTAACAGGCCATAGTGGCCTCATAATTGGAGATGCGCAGCCTGAGTCCCATGGCGGTGTAGATGTGGCGAGACATCATGTCGATTTTTTTCCTCTCTCTGTCCAACGGAGTGGAATGTTCCCTCGATTGGTGGCCCTGTGTTGACTTGATGACTATGGAGTTCAGTTGGGGATATTTTAAGAAGAATGGTATGTCCTGCTCACAAACCTTATACATGGCCTCCAAACGACAAGAGGTAAGGTGAGAGTAGTTTGGCAGTTGCCAAGACTCTGTCATCACCTGTTGAAAGGTGGAAATGAATGGCAGGGCAATTGGAATGGAGTCTTCTTTACGAACCACATCATAAGTATTGTCCTGGTTCGCGTCAGTACACTGCTGAACGTCGATCTTGAGAGATGACGACATACATGTGAGCAGCTCTGAGAACCGACTCTGGCTGTCACCAGGAGATCCCGGACCGTGGATAGTGATAATAGTATCAGGAAAGATGGAGATCTGTTGGGATTCCTCCGAACCCAAATTGGTCTCCTATGGAGGGCTGGAGGAAGAGCCATCAGGAGACATTGGTGGATGGGTGAGCGCTGCAGCAGATGTTGATGGAGCGTCCCTCGACACTGATTGAGGGGTGGAATGGTGGCAATGCATTGGTGGTGGTGGGTAATAGCCATATGGGGAACAGAAATCCCATGGATAAGGTCGGTCCATGTGCTCGGGATTGAAGTCCCCATAGGGCAGAGGTACCCAGTACCGTGATGGTTGCAGTGCAGGAGGTTGTGGAGGTAAGAGGGAGGATGGACGATGAGGGGCCCTCGGAGATCCCTCTGGAGGATGTTCATGTTCCGACTGAGGTGGCGATTCTAGGATTTCTCCATCTAAGATAGATGTTCGAGCCAATGGATCCGAATGGTCGGGACTGGAGTGCAGGGAGATGGTGATCCTTGGGGGTGACACTGGAGGTGTCACCTGCATAACCAACTGGTGGCTGGGCAGCTCAGTCAATACCAAGAAAGGTATATAAAGCGGCTTGGAGTGAGGCACTTTAGTATGTTTTTTGTGCCAATGCTCAATCTTATTGGGTTTGTCCTTCTTGAAATGTTTGGGTTTATATGTCTCATTGGACCTGACATGCTTCCTCTTCTCCTTATGTTTCTTTGAAAGAGAGGAGCGCTTTCCATTGGGACCAGCAATATCCCCTTTGAATGAGTGAGATGGGGGACTCTTTGAAAACCCGGGAGCTGCAGAGGAGCCGGTATCAGCCGAGACCTGCTTCATAGCCACTAGGGCTTGGTCCCATAACATTTTGCACAGCTTATTTTCTTGTTTTTTCTGAGCCAGCCGCATGAACGATTGGCAATGGCTGCACTTGTCAGTTCTGTGTCTCTCTCCTAGGTCAGTGGGAGACATTTTAGCTCCAGACTGAGCACACTTGTAGAAAGCTGCCCACTGTGCCATCTAGAGAAGGAGGAGGAGAGTATAGCAGCAAGGAGAAAGGTATAGCGCAAGGTTAAGACAATAGAAGGGTTTTTAAAATTATTTTTTATTCTTGGAAAGGTGGTGGGGGAAGGGGAAAAGATATAAAGCGGGGTTTGGTAAGAGTAATGAACAACTGTGTAAAGTGTTTTATTTCAAGAAGGGCTAAGACAAAAGTTAGAAGTTCAGAAATGATCAAAAAGAATAAAGTAAGTACTGCAAAAAAACAGACGAGGAGACAAGCACAAAGGCTTGAAGATTTAAAGCTCTTAAATCTTCCTGGCATCAGGCACTGTGCAGGCACAGCACCCATATGTGTGTGATGCACAGAGACCACGATGAAGAAAGAAAGGATATAAATTTAAGAAAAAATAAAGAAAGCAAGTAGGTGATATAGATGTAATATAATTGCTAGTACTGATTTATAAGTCATTTACTTAGGATTAAGACTGTAAAAGGGGAAGTTTACAAGGTTGTGACAAGCTATGGATTTTCCTATGGCAAATGGCCTGAGGATACAAAATTAAAAACATGGGACCTCCAGTTGACTCTGACAAGGTCTGATTTCAAGGTTGACTAAAGGATAAACTAGGAGATAAATGGTTCTCTTTTAAATGGTTCAAATCACTGACTGTACTTTCTGGCATAATACAAGGGATCTATCAAGTGAAATTGGTATGGCTAAGTAAGTTTGTGGAATATTGTAAGGGTTACACATATTAATTTGTCCTATGGATAAATCATTGTATTGCCATACAATACACTATATTTACAAATCATTGTATTGCCATACAATACACTACTACAATACAAGTCTAACTGTCTTCTAGCTATATCCCTTGCTTCCCTGAGGGCATCAACATATTCCTACTCAGTTGATTTTCTGGTCCCCAGTTCTGTAACTTTTGTTTACCTGGTACAGGTGATCATGCTGTGGTTGCTAGTTTGTTAACCAGGCCAGTCATATGCCAGGGGGATTAGCATAATTACTCATCAGCAGCAAACTGGCTTGGGTGATTTGTTGCCATGGGTAACAAGCCACCCAGAAACCTACAAAAGCAGGGAAATGGGCTTATTTTCCCAACTGCACAGTGGGTCATTATTTCATTTTCCCTGTTTCAAAGTATTGCCAAATTAAATTCCTGCCATTCACTTACCACAAGAGGTTCTGTACGTGGCCTGGGCATATAGGGAAAGGTTTCTCGAAGAAATGTTGTGATCTCTAAGAGAAGTTGACATGCTGCCATCTTTAGAGCAAAAGGACAACAACATTTGGTGGGATTCACAGTGCCTAAGAAACAATAATATATGTACACATGTTGTTAAAAAATAGCAGTAGAAGAAAAAATTAGATCTAAGAAGAGATGAACATCATCACACATGGTACATGATGCAAGCAGCGTATGGAACATTATGGCCCCTTTACATTATTAACCAATTTTTCCTAATACAGTCATTTGCACACTTACCTATTGTTACATATTCTCTGCAGCATATGGCAGTTTCATAATATAAGGCCTGCAGTGAACTCAAAATCTAACTGTTCTTTGAAGTGCCCCCTGTTAATGCAGATGTCGAAATCAAGACATTCCTAGTCTGTTCACCTTAGCATTCAGTTTTGGCCTAGAAATGACACACCATTTTGCATATCTCTTCAAACTATCAGCCTGCTTGCTTGCTTTAAAACCAAAAGTACAATCTGGGGAGAGACAGTTAGAGATGCACAATCACATGGAGGTGCAGTTGCTCAATCCTTCCCCTTTAGCCAACCATCTTCCCTTTCAAAATCCCCCTGTCCTGCACTCAGCTTTTTCCCCACAAGGGAAAAGAAATGGACATTCTTATTGGATTCCCTGCATGAACAAAACCTTTGTGGGGCGGGGGGCGGGGTGCCATGTGTTAAAAAAGCTGGAGAAGGGGCTCATGCAGATCTGTGTCATGCTTGATCAATAACAATACTACAGCCAGCTTAGGTAAGGTTAGAAAGATAAGCTTTCTGCAAAGGTTAGGTAAGTTTAGTTGCCTTATTTTTGGTATTATACCTATATTTGTGATTATCTGCCAATTAACACTGAGAACAGAAAAGCTATCAGTCTCCAGAGATCCTGACTCCAAAAGTGAACCAAATCTGAGTAAATGCTGGCTTTGGACCTTTTCACCTCTTGAAAATATGGGGAGTGGATAAAAATACTGAAGGTTAACCATGTGAAGATGGTACAAAGCAATTCCAGTGTGCAGAGACCACCAGGGAACAGAAGAAGGTAGAACACTGGGGCATTGACTCGAGTACTAGGATAGAAGAACTGGTTTTGTTTATCTGTTTCCCCCCTTTCCTTCCTTAGTATATGCAACTGTACACTGCCACTAACTTCTTTATACCTTCTCCATGAAAAAAGAAATATTCAGGATGGCATCCATAAGTTTAAAACACATTTACTGTTCCATCTTCAAACCTGGGACCATGGAAGAAGAAACATTAGAAAAAGGCAGTAGGGTAATCCCATCCATTCAACACTTAGTAGACAAAGACATTATAGAGCTACATTCTTCCTACACCCTGTAGCTTGCTACTGCTGCCCTTCAACCCTGCAGTTCCCTTTAGGAATAATGCATGCACATGAAATTAAGCATGTATAAATAATTTTGCTGAAACTGTCACTACTCATCTGATAATCCCACTTGCATCGTTATAGTGAAGAAAACCTAACAGAACATGAGAGCCAGTGTGGTGTAGTGGTTAAGAGCATGGGACTGGGACCCAGACGATCTGGGTTCTAGTCCCTGCTCAGGCATGGAGCCAACTGGGTGACTTTGGGCCAGTCACAGACTCTCAGCCCAACCTACCTCACAGGGTTGTTGTTGTGGGGATAAGATGGAGGAGGTAAATGATGTAAGCTGCCCTGAGCCCTTTGTAGGAAAAAGGTAGGATATAAATAAATAAATTAAAAAAAAACACTGCATGCACTCACAGAGAGTGGGAAAATTCTCTACATGCTGATCTGCCTATCATCATGAAATCACAAAGGTACTGAGGCACTTGTGAAGGGAAGAATTAAATGGCACTGAGAAGGGACATCATATTCTGGAATTCCATATCTTTCTCACTTACAAATCCCCATTTGTTCTCTATTTTCACTCATCCAGAAAGAGCTAGATATCCTCTTTCCCAGTCCCAATAATTTCACAGCTGATGTGAAAAGAGCAATTGTGAAAACAATAAGAATTTCTCTGTTTCTTCTCACTTTAAATTTCAAAACATATCTGATAAACCAAGGAGACAGCATATGGTTCCAATAATTGCATATTAGAACTATTTCCAATTAGATTGTCAGGATGAGCAGATTCTTTTCTAACCCAAATATTTATACTAATAACTCTCCTTAGCTTTCAGCAGATCAGCTTAGAACATTGTAGGTGCATAATAAATTCAGTAAGGTTACCAAAATCAAAACCCCTTTAATGGATTACATGCTAAGTGGAAAAGAACAGTACAGACACACAAATAAATATATAGATGATACTTGGAAAAGATATTGTACTGAGCATTAGTGTAATCTGCACTCTATATTGGCATGAGATATTTCTATGTTCCACACATCCATGCTGATTTTTTTAAATGTTAAAATGTGGCATTTTTGACTTTATAAATCATAGTCAGTATACTATTACTGAATCTTATCTAGTGTACTGTTTTCTATATTTTAAAAAGGAATAAATGAAAATTGAGTATTAGTTTTAAAAAATCCTAATTTCCATTTAGCTTGGGTTCTGTATATATGGAGTGTATACTGACATATAGTGGAACTTTTCAGTAGTTATTTCATTCACATGCATTAAGGTTCCACTCATTGTTTTTTAACAAGGTATTTTCTGTATTGTGAGTGACATTTACTGCATATTACTATAAAGTTGATCAAACTTTACAGCCTAGCTTATAATGATACACTTATAACCATCTAGTTCTACATTCATGAAGAAACTGACAACTTCAGTGGGTTCCCTTCTGAATTATGGTCTTTGTGATTAATTGAATGTTTTCTTAGTATCACTGATAGGTGCTGATTCACACAATCAACACCTCCTACTGTGGCTTATTTAAGCCATGGTAGCTTGTGGCATTTGGGATATTGCTCAACCCTCAAACAAGGACTGTTTGCGAGTCAAGTAAATTTTGCACAAACCATGGTCTGCTACAGGATTCTGTCCTTTCAAACAAATTCTGCTACCCAGGTCCAGATGATTCAACGAATTATTGTAACCCCTAGCAGGGGCTAAATATTCAAAATGGCCACTGCTATGCATCACAGTAGGCTGCAGTGATCCTGCAATGAAGGTCATGGTTTCAATAAATAAAACATGGCCAATGTTTTTAAAAAGTGAAAGACAACCTAACAAGGAATGCTCTGATGATGAAAGCTTACATAGGTCCATCAACGTTATTTACCTTCAGCTGCCTTAATCCAGCAAGGGAGAACCACATCTAGAAACAGAGTTGGACATACAACTTTATTCCACCTAGACCAGTATTGTCTGTTCTGACCATTGCCAACTCACCAAGATCTTGGGCAAAGATAGACCCTTTCATGTAACAATGTCAGGGACTGACCTTCAGACCCCCTTTCTGTACAGTGCCATGGATCCATAGTCCCTGGCACAGGGAGCCAATGGACTGAATGTATATCCATATCAGCTAGCATTGTAACACTTGTAAGGACTCTGTTGAACCATCTGGGCTTAACATCTGCTATACATGACTAGAGCCTTATCAGGCAATATACTATGGATTCTGCTTCTATTTTCCTGCTTCTACTACTACAGAATGCATTACAACTAGGCAGAGAGAGAGAGAGAGAGAGAGAGAGAGAGAGAGAGAGAGAGAGAGAGAGGAAGGTAAGTGTGGAATACAATTGGGTGGAAAGGTAATGAAAGAGAGAAAGTAAAAATTTTTAAAAAGGAATTAAGTGTTCCTAAAGCAGAGATTCTTACAAGCGGGGGTTCTTGTAGTAAAGGGAGTCTCCTTACTGTCATCTAAAAAGTCTTCTTCCTCATCCTCCTTTCTCAGCCTCCTCTTGGTCTCCTCATCATAAATGAGGCCCAACAGATTGGCTGGGCTCTCATTCTCACTATGGCAAAGTTCATTGAGACGGGCTCCAATAGCCTGGCAGCAGAAACAACAAGAAGAAAACAACCAAGTGTCATTAGCATCATGGCTAATGCTTGATAAAAGTAGAAAAACAATTTAAGTTGAATACATATTACTTGGAATCCTGCACTGTTAAATTAATGCCATTTCATAGTCAAATTGTGAGTGCAGAGGACATAGAACAGCAACTTATTTCTATTTCTATCTTGTGCTTTTACTAACCTTGCTTACAACACACTCGTAGATCAGAAAAACTAACTGTAAATCCAGTAAGCAATTAACAATATAAAACTGATAGTATATTAACACAGTACAATTGCGGAAAAACCAGGTGGCAACATGAGCTCAAATTATGCAGTGAAATCCATTTTCTGATTCTGTCAACTTACAAAAAAGTCTCAAAAGACAGGGCCTGATGGATCTCAATCAGGCGATTATACCAGGGCCAAGGCATCACCTCAGAAAATGTCATGTTAGAGACATAATCAGTATCTTTATTGAAAAAGCAGCCTAAATGCCTTCCTCTCCCTCAAATAGGACTGTGGCACTTGGACTCCTGAAACAAAGGCTACTTGATTTATTCAAATACCAAGCTGCTTGATAGTCCTGGATTTCTAGAAATTTTCCCCCACTATTTATTTTGGTCAGTGAGTTTATGCAACAATGAACTGAAAATACCTGGGCATCAGGTTAAATGATACAAGCAGTAGAGTTTGTTGCATCACTCCAACGAGGGAAGCAAAAGCGTTTAGACCTGCAAAACCTAAACTGAACCGGTACTGAGAGCTCCTGGCTCTCTTGTTTTAGGCTACACTTGTCCATCTTTGAATTTTCCTTTACTTATCCACCCCAGATGGTAAAAATTAACAAACTCTATCAGCTGTTCTATGCACCTGTCCACTTCCGTTTGAGTAAGAAGTTGCTATGAGCTTCACAAGATTATACAGTTTTGTTTAGGATGCGTCCAGACAAGCTTTTTATCACATTACCTCATGCACAGATTTTGAGGGATGGGGGAATGGAAACAACATTATCTCCAGTTTTTGGTTGCAGGGCAGCAATAGCAAAAAGCAGATTTTTTTTAGCTCTTTTTTTCTTTTTAGAAAGGGCTATTGTTTTTCCTGTCACTGATAGCAGAAGAATGTAAAGTAAAGCCCCTTCTGGGTTTAGGGAATATCTAAACATGTACAGGTTTGCAATCTAACATATTTTTAAATTTGGGTGGTATGTTGATATTATGCTTTCTCTAATTGTTAGAGTCTAACACATCTCATCATGTCTATTCCAAGATTTCAGAGATGCACAGTCAAGGTTGGATAAGCATCAGTATATAAAGTGAAGCTACAGAATACAGGATGATGTGTATTAGTGGAAGATTAAGTTGCATATACAACACAAGAATAAGTTTCTTCTTCTAGAAGAGCAGGTTGCTTACCTGTAACTGATGTTCTTCGAGTGGCCATCTGTGCAGTCACACATAAGGGTTCTGCGCCTGCGCAGTGCCTTTGGCTGGAAGATTAACAGCTAACGGTTTTTGGTAGGAACTCCGCTCCCCCTCCCCACTAGTATAATATAAGGAGTAGAGTATCCGCCATTTTCCAGTCTTTGAAAGACCGACGTTCGCTCCCTTAATAAAGTTATTGTCATTATGGCAAAAACCAAAACTTCAGTGGTATGATAAATATCTAAAGAGATCCTAGCATCGAAGAGAAGGAAGTTGGACCACCAATGACACCAAGCGGGGTCCGAGGGTGGGCTGTGTGAATGCACAGATGGCCACTCGAAGAACATCAGTTACAGGTAAGCAACCTGCTCTTCTTTGTCGTGGCCTCTGTGCATCACACATATGGGTAGAATAACAAGCTTACCCAAACTGGAGGAGGGAGGTGTCATCAACGAAGAATAGAAGAAAGAACAGCCCTGCCAAAAGAGCAATCTTGTCTGGCACGAACATCAAGTCTATAGTGTCTGGCGAAGGTACACGGGGTAGCCCAAGTGGCCACTCTGCAGACGTCTTCCATTGGGACTCCCGATGCAAAGGCTGAAGAAGCAGCAACAGCCCTTGTAGAATGACCTCTTGGAGTAGATGGTAAGTCCAATTTAGCCAACTGGTAAGACAGAACAATTGTTTTCGCTATCCATTTGGAAAGTCGTTGGGAAGTAACCGGATAGCCTCGGTCGTGTTCTGAGTATTTAACAAAGAGTCTATTGGAGTGTCGAACAGACTCAGTCCTGGACCTATAAAAGGCTAAGCAACGACGAACATCCAGTATATGCAGAGACCTCTCTATCGGATTCGAAGGAGTTGGAAAGAATGCCGGTAAAACAATCTCTTGCTGCATGTGAAACGAAGTAGCGATCTTATGAAGAAAGGACAGATCCAGCCGTAGAACTACCTTTTCCTTATGAAAATTCAGAAAAGGGGGGTCTACCCTAAGGGCACAAAGCTCAGAAGATCTACGGGCTGAAGTAACTGCTACGAGAAAAGCAGTCTTCCATGAGACAAGGCGTAGATCAGTTGTCGCCATGGGTTCAAAAGGTGGTCGAGTCAGTGCCTGTAAAACTACTGAAAGACTCCAAGTGGGCATTAGAGGCCTTATTGTTGGATGGAGGTTACCCAATCCTCTCAAAAATCTTTTAATCAAAGGTTGAGGAAAAATGGAAAAACCTTGTACAGTTCCACGGTAGTAAGAAATCGCTGCTGTATATACTTTTATGGAAGAAGGTTTAAGTCCAGACTGGTGCAATTCGAAGAGGAATTGAAGAATCTGCTACGCCGACGATGCTGGAAGTGAGTGAGATTCGGCAAAGCTGAAGAATCTATGCCATTTTGCTGCATACGACTTTCTAGTGGATGGCCTTAATGCAGATTCGAGAATATATTGCAGATCTGGATGTAAAGTTTGTGAAGTAGAGGTAGCAGGGATTGCCGGTGGCATCGACACCGGTGCAGCACATAAGGTTATCGGATCCTCCAGGCAGTCAGTTTCAGCGACAACAGGTCTGGGTGTCAAATCGTGCCTTCCCTCTGGGTAATGAGATAAGGAAGAAGAGGGAGTTGAAGAAAATCCTCCCAAGAGATATGAAGGAGAGTTGAGAACCATGGTTGGCGTGGCCCCAGGGGGTTATCAGTAGCCCTGTGGCCCCTTCGTGAATAATCTTTGCCAACACTCTCATGATGAGGGGGATCGGTGGGAAAGCGTAAAAGGTCATGTCGTTCCAGGGAATCATGAAGGCGTCCCCGGACGACCCCTGTCCTATCCCCGCTCTGGAACAATAGTTCATGCACACCCTGTTCTGTTGGGTGGCAAACAGGTCTATGTCTGGTGGACCCCAGAGGTGAAACAGTCTGTCGCGAACCCAACAGTCCAGTTCCCATTTGTGTGACCGCGACATATGTGTGCTCAAGAGAACTGCTTCTACATTGTCCTTGCCCACAAGATGTACTGCTAGAAGAGTGATACCTCTCGGTATGCACCAGTCCCAAATTTGTATTGACAGGCGGGCTAGTTTCGGGGACCAGGTTCCCCCTTGTTTGTTCAAATAAAAGACCGTAGCCATGTTGTCTGAAGTCACCTGGACAACCTGGTGAAGAAGTACATCCTCGAACGATTGCAGGGCTTTGAAAACAGCAAGAAGTTCCAGGAAGTTGATGTGGTTCCTGGAATCCCAGGGACTCCAAACCCCTTGGGTACGTAGGTCGGAGCAAATGGCTCCCCATCTGAGAAGAGACGCATCGGTACTGAGAGTCACTGTAGGGTACCGAGGTCGAAACACGACACCAACATTTAAATTGGCTGGCTCTGTCCACCATAACAGGGACTGAAGAACGGAGGCCGGGAGTCGAATCCGTTTGGTAGGTGGAACTCTCTGTGGTCGGAACATCCCATTGAAGAATAACTGGAGAGGGCGTAGTCTGAGTTTGGCATGCGGAACCACGGCGATGGATGCAGCCATGTGTCCCAACAGGCTCTGGATAGATCGGGCAGGGACAGTCCTTTCTCATCGAATCCAAGAGATGCACCGAGCGATAGCATGCTGTCTGTCTTGAGGAAGAGAGGCTCTTGCCAGCATAGAATCCAGTCGGGCTCCGATAAAGTTGACCGTCTGTGTAGGGAGAAGAGAAGACTTCTGTTGATTAATGCAGAGTCCAAGGTCTTGTAATAGAGCACAAGTAATATCAACAGCAGACGAAAGTCCTGCTTTAGTGTCAGAAACCAACAACCAATCATCAAGGTACGGGTATATCTGAATTCCATGTAGTTGAAGGTGTGCGCAGACAGGAGCCATACACTTTGTAAAAACTCTTGGTGCAGTGGCTAATCCAAACGGTAACACCTTGAATTTGTAGATTTCAGAGTCTACCACAAAACGAAGGAAGTGCCTATGACGTGGATGTATTGAAATATGAAAATAGGCATCCTTCAAATCCAACGAGGTGAACCAATCCCCTCTCCCCAGCAACAGATGTATATTTTGGGGCATGGTCATCCAAAACTTCTTTGGTGTTATGAATCTATTGAGAGCTCTCAAGTCCAATATGGGTTGGAGACCCCCATCTCATTTCGGGACCGTAAAATATCTGGAATAGAATCCGTGGAGTCCTTCTGATAACAATAAGCGATGAACAACTCCTTTAGTAAGGAGTTGGTGATTCTTGTCCAACAGTACCGACGAGGTCGGTGTAAAACGGATAGGATTCAGTGATGGAACAATGTCGAATTCAATTCTATAGCCATGCTGGATGATGGATAACACCCACCTGTCAGATGTAATGGACTCCCAAGTGGAGAGCCGACTTTTCAGCCGGTCCCCAAATGAGAGAGGGGAGGGTGAAGTTGGGAGGAGAGGAAAGGCTCACTCGTCCCATCAGCGTTGTCGCCTATCCGTGTCGAAGCGGCGGCGGCCCTGCTGGAAGCGCTGGGACAGCTGCTGTCTGCGGCGTTGCTGGCGTTGATGTGGTTGTTGTTGCCGAGGTTGGAATTGTTGGCGGTATTGCAGGCGTGACCATGACC